GAGTTGTTTATCATCCTTTTCTTTGGCATCGGCAACTCTCAAGAAGGCCTTCATGCGATCCAATTCATCTTTGATGGGCACAACTTCTTCCCGAACACCACCTAAAAGTCCTGCCTCTTTTTGAAGCAAGGGTTTTAGTTGGTCAATCAGAAAGGATACAGCGATCTCTGCCATTCTTTCTTCACTTTTTTCACAAAGCCTTCGGATCTCTCAAGGGTTCAAAGATTGTTTGAATACTCTCTTAACACTCACCAAAACAAACTAGATATAGATCAATATATAGTTGATCTATCTACTGGTCAGATTCCAAAATTAAAGGTTTAACTCTGATTTCTGAACTAATACTTTCCACTTACTTGAAGCAAAAAAAAAAAAAGAACAATACCTTGCGTTAGCAAGAAGATTTGTGTTTGCAGGGCTATATCTAAAGTGATTCTTATACTCTGTACTAGTGAGAAGATTTGCATTTGCAGGACTATACCTTTTGTGGTTCCTATTCTTTTACTCTTACGAATATCTTGTGTGAAGAAGCATCAAAGATATTGTAATGTGAAATGGAGCATGATTCCTATTTTAGTTTTTATAGAAGCTGATGTCCTCTTCATGTGAAACAGAACATTATTTATTTTAATGCATTCGATGTTTGTATTGTAATTATGAATCTAAAAGTGGCATGGTAGACATGATTTTCCATTTCTAACAAAAGGAAAAAAAGAATATGTTTACTTGATCTTTGCTTGTGGAAGTTGATGTTCTCTTTCATGCTAAATGTAAAATGATTCCATAGCCTTTGCCAATTAATGTACAAAGGAATTGCTTCAGCTATAAACCAATATAGTCTGCTTGATTAGAAAGATATAGGGTAAATTATACACTGACCTCTTTAACTATGTCTGCCCTCTTACATTGCTTCCTCCATTATCACTTTTGTCACATCACAGCTCTAGCAGTGATTATTAGTTTCACATTATCCTCTCGACTATAATTTCTCTCACATGTACCTCAAAGTATTGTTATTGATATTTCCCTGCTCCAATTACAAATACTAAAATTAGGTATTTTACTACACATTTTTTGTTCTAAATACAAAATATAGCTGGTTTAAAAGTTATGTGAAATCAACTAAAGTATTATACATTGTGGGAAACTCGATATATAGGTGTAGAGTGAGATATAAATCATAGTTGAAAGAGTTAAAAGTATAATACGTCTATAAATAAAACATGAATTTTTTTCAACAAGAGCTGTGGTACCATGTCAATCCCTCCTCCTCCTCCTCCTGACGTGCACGCCTTATCACATTTTTTCGATGGGTATCAACACAAACCAACTAGACCCTTTCATGTACCATTAAGACAAAATGATACCACGATTATGGTCGACTAAATGATCATATCCAATGCACAAAATTCCTATTATAAAACAATTTGGAAGAGATAGATGAAACCAGATGAGGTGGCAAATTTCAACCCAAAAGTCAACACCACCATCACAGCCCAAAATTAGCAGAACAAGATTGATTAGTTTTCGGCACAATCCCAAAACACAACCTACTAACAGAAAAAAAATCAATTAACTCAGACTGGGATACTGCAAACCCATTTAACTACTATATTTTGGGAATTGTCGTGATTAATTAAAAAAGTGTTGGGATTACCTATTGCTTTTAACAAATTTTGATACGAGACGAGAAACATCTTGATTGTCATCCCAAGCAGACTTCAAGAGGCTAATTTTGCAGACTTCATGTATGTACACTCTCTCATGTCCCCAGGGTAGTATTCAAATCTATTCACAAATCTCAGGCACCATCCCTTCTTTATAATTCGAGAAAACACACCGGCAACTAAAATCCTAGGATGAAAAAAAGGTGTGGCATCTAAAATCTGTTTGTCCTAAGAAATTACTCAAACCCAAGTCAAAGAACTATCTATGTATGTCAAGATTTCATTAAAATATGCATTAACATCGTACTGAATGACATTAACAATAATCTATCCACAACTGTACCTGAAAATTCAGCAAAAAAGAAAATTACTTTCGTTTGAAATATCAAATAAACCATAGACATGAGACAGTACCTGCCACAAAATTGAACTTTTACTGCTCAATACTATATATGTTGCTTATGAACTCAACAATTTAGTAGAACACTCAACATCTTGCGGCTTAGGGAACAAAAGAAAAAGAATGGGGGTAGGGGAAAGAAAGAAAATAAGATATTCCTAAGGTCTCTCCTAAGTTACAACATAGGATACCACATGTGACACCGACACCAAAAATCTTTATTTGACGACTTCAATAACCAATCTGTGAAGAACAAAAAAGAGGTGTGGTCACTTCGCGAGTCAATCCTCATCATCAGAACTGTCAAATTTTACTTTGGTAGCTTTTGGAGCATCCATAGCAATTTCTCTGAAATGAGCCCCATATAGCTTAGACTCCTGCATTGGGACAGCAAGTCATGATTACAAGGTGATATAACCACCATTGTTAAAACTGCATGAAGCTGGGTGATAATCAACAAAGCAGGCAACTATTTCGTTTTCTTTTTCTTATCCTTTTATTTTTCCCCAAATATTGACTAATGCTACAGGATCTCTGCATAATGCAATATTGCAATTCATACTGAAAAAGATGTCACATGCAAACGCAATTGCATGGGCATATAGAAAAGCACAAGCACACCTAGTGAAATCACAAAAGACTACAAGGCATTACTATCGTAGAGGCAAGAAAAACAAATACACAATGCACTCCTGAAATGTCCACAATGTGGGACAGTGTGTGTGTGTGTGTGTGAGAGAGAGAGAGAGAGAGAGAGAGATTTCTCCAATTTAATAGAAAGTACACATGTATAGAATAAAGGTAGAATGATTTATAGATGTTGATCACTATTAATTAGTCCTGGAGTCAAAATTGATGCAGCAAAGATAACAAAAAGGTCTTGTTATGATAGCCTGACAAGTGACAACTATAGTGCATAAAACATTATCGCAGATAGCCCTTAATAAAGAATATATGCTTATCTAGCGTCCAGTCCCAGTAATATCTATGTCCATTTGCCAGGTTGGCATGAACTTGGGCTTCAGGGCCATGTTCATGCAACAAGGGGAGAAAGTCCTAAGATCATACATGTCAAGCCACCCCTGTTGTAGTACNGCTTCAGGGCCATGTTCATGCAACAAGGGGAGAAAGTCCTAAGATCATACATGTCAAGCCACCCCTGTTGTAGTACTCTCTGGCTATTGGAGTAGATTGCAAGAGAAAAAAGATTCTCACCTTTTTCTTAACATGAGTACCGAAGTTTAAAAGGGCAGCAGGTACTATCTGACCAGCTTCTCTCAGNAACATGAATTTTTTTCAACAAGAGCTGTGGTACCATGTCAATCCCTCCTCCTCCTGACGTGCACGCCTTATCACATTTTTTCGATGGGTATCAACACAAACCAACTAGACCCTTTCGTGTACCATTAAGACAAAATGATACCACGATTATGATCGACTAAATGATCATATCTAATACACAAAATTCCTATTATAAAACAATTTGGAAGAGATAGATGAAACAAGATGAGGTGGCAAATTTCAACACAAAAGTCAACACCACCATCACAGCCCAAAATTATTGATTAGTTTTCGGCACAAATCCCAAAACACAACCTACTAACAGAAAAAAATCAATTAACTCGACTGGGATACTACAAACCCATTTAACTACTATATTTTGGGAATTGTCGTGATTGATTAAAAAAGTGTTGGGATTACCTATTGCTTTTAACAAATTTTGATACGAGACGAGAAACATCTTGATTGTCATCCCAAGCAGACTTCAAGAGGCTAATTTTGCAGACTTCATGTATGTACACTCTCTCATGTCCCCAGGGTAGTATTCAAATCTATTCACAAATCTCAGGCACCATCCCTTCTTTATAATTCGAGAAAACACACTGGCAACTAAAATCCTAGGATGAAAAAAAGGTGTGGCATCTAAAATCTGTTTGTCCTAAGAAATTACTCAAACCCAAGTCAAAGAACTATCTATGTATGTCAAGATTTCATTAAAATATGCATTAACATCGTACTGAATGACATTAACAATAATCTATCCACAACTGTACCTGAAAATTCAGCAAAAAAGAAAATTACTTTCGTTTGAAATATCAAATAAACCATAGACATGAGACAGTACCTGCCACAAAATTGAACTTTTACTGCTCAATACTATATATGTTGCTTATGAACTCAACAATTTAGTAGAACACTCAACATCTTGCGGCTTAGGGAACAAAAGAAAAAGAATGGGGGTAGGGGAAAGAAAGAAAATAAGATATTCCTAAGGTCTCTCCTAAGTTACAACATAGGATACCACATGTGACACCGACACCAAAAATCTTTATTTGACGACTTCAATAACCAATCTGTGAAGAACAAAAAANCACAAAATTCCTATTATAAAACAATTTGGAAGAGATAGATGAAACAAGATGAGGTGGCAAATTTCAACACAAAAGTCAACACCACCATCACAGCCCAAAATTATTGATTAGTTTTCGGCACAAATCCCAAAACACAACCTACTAACAGAAAAAAATCAATTAACTCGACTGGGATACTACAAACCCATTTAACTACTATATTTTGGGAATTGTCGTGATTGATTAAAAAAGTGTTGGGATTACCTATTGCTTTTAACAAATTTTGATACGAGACGAGAAACATCTTGATTGTCATCCCAAGCAGACTTCAAGAGGCTAATTTTGCAGACTTCATGTATGTACACTCTCTCATGTCCCCAGGGTAGTATTCAAATCTATTCACAAATCTCAGGCACCATCCCTTCTTTATAATTCGAGAAAACACACTGGCAACTAAAATCCTAGGATGAAAAAAAGGTGTGGCATCTAAAATCTGTTTGTCCTAAGAAATTACTCAAACCCAAGTCAAAGAACTATCTATGTATGTCAAGATTTCATTAAAATATGCATTAACATCGTACTGAATGACATTAACAATAATCTATCCACAACTGTACCTGAAAATTCAGCAAAAAAGAAAATTACTTTCGTTTGAAATATCAAATAAACCATAGACATGAGACAGTACCTGCCACAAAATTGAACTTTTACTGCTCAATACTATATATGTTGCTTATGAACTCAACAATTTAGTAGAACACTCAACATCTTGCGGCTTAGGGAACAAAAGAAAAAGAATGGGGGTAGGGGAAAGAAAGAAAATAAGATATTCCTAAGGTCTCTCCTAAGTTACAACATAGGATACCACATGTGACACCGACACCAAAAATCTTTATTTGACGACTTCAATAACCAATCTGTGAAGAACAAAAAAGAGGTGTGGTCACTTCGCGAGTCAATCCTCATCATCAGAACTGTCAAATTTTACTTTGGTAGCTTTTGGAGCATCCATAGCAATTTCTCTGAAATGAGCCCCATATAGCTTAGACTCCTGCATTGGGACAGCAAGTCATGATTACAAGGTGATATAACCACCATTGTTAAAACTGCATGAAGCTGGGTGATAATCAACAAAGCAGGCAACTATTTCGTTTTCTTTTTCTTATCCTTTTATTTTTCCCCAAATATTGACTAATGCTACAGGATCTCTGCATAATGCAATATTGCAATTCATACTGAAAAAGATGTCACATGCAAACGCAATTGCATGGGCATATAGAAAAGCACAAGCACACCTAGTGAAATCACAAAAGACTACAAGGCATTACTATCGTAGAGGCAAGAAAAACAAATACACAATGCACTCCTGAAATGTCCACAATGTGGGACAGTGTGTGTGTGTGTGTGTGAGAGAGAGAGAGAGAGAGAGAGAGATTTCTCCAATTTAATAGAAAGTACACATGTATAGAATAAAGGTAGAATGATTTATAGATGTTGATCACTATTAATTAGTCCTGGAGTCAAAATTGATGCAGCAAAGATAACAAAAAGGTCTTGTTATGATAGCCTGACAAGTGACAACTATAGTGCATAAAACATTATCGCAGATAGCCCTTAATAAAGAATATATGCTTATCTAGCGTCCAGTCCCAGTAATATCTATGTCCATTTGCCAGGTTGGCATGAACTTGGGCTTCAGGGCCATGTTCATGCAACAAGGGGAGAAAGTCCTAAGATCATACATGTCAAGCCACCCCTGTTGTAGTACTCTCTGGCTATTGGAGTAGATTGCAAGAGAAAAAAGATTCTCACCTTTTTCTTAACATGAGTACCGAAGTTTAAAAGGGCAGCAGGTACTATCTGACCAGCTTCTCTCAGAACATTAACCAGCTCTCCAGCAAGTCCCTGCAAGAAATCCATGGTTCCATATCAGAAAATAATCCGCCCATGCCTGAATACACATTTTAGCTGAGAAATAATAATAAAACCCTTTAGTCATTTCAAACTGTACCTTGTTTTCCTTAGTGAAGAATGTATGGGCGACACCTTTCTTACCAGCTCGTCCAGTCCTTCCAATTCTGTGAACATAATCCTCCGTCGTGAGTGGAAATTTATAATTAATTACAACTTCAACATCTGAAATATCCAATCCTCGGGCAGCCACGTCAGTGGCTATCTGCAGAAAGTAACACCACTACAATTAACCATCCTTCTGAATATTGCCNAATATCCAATCCTCGGGCAGCCACGTCAGTGGCTATCTGCAGAAAGTAACACCACTACAATTAACCATCCTTCTGAATATTGCCTATCGTGGAAAACATTAATAAAAACTAACAGATATACTTGGTATAATTTTCAAATTAGACACTTCAGAAAGAAATCATTATATCAGAGGTCAAAACATGGCCAGAAATGACACAAGTCACAACACTATATGACATGTTTGGCCTTTATTCGAATTATAAACCTGAACACTAGAATATCCCTCACTTCATGGCAATTCCCTGCAATTGAGGTATAGTCCACACACCCATTTTATATGGTCCACATGTGTGACAAGGGAGTGCCAATTATGCTGGACCTTCGAATAGGCATTGAAACACCAACATATGGAGCAAATGTATTTACAACATCAATCAATAGGAAATGGTGAATTACTAATCCTGCCAATAACGTGTCCGTCACAAGGCTGTAACGGCCATTACGGCTATGGTTTTTTTAGGACTGACTAAGTGGGCTGAAAGAGGGTCAACAGGGCATTCTGGTTACGTAGTGATTGTTATGTTACATAATGACCATCGCTGAAAACAACTGTAGAGATATGGTGGGTTTTAGGCAGAAAAGAGTGGGGGCATGCTTGGCTCTTAAAATTTCATCAAAATAAAGCCAAGCAAATCAAGCTTAAGCTACAAGCACATAAGCATCCCCCCGAGCTGCTTACATATTATAGCTAATTGTGCTATAAGCCTCTTTTTGTAGAATCTGACATAAGTTGTAAAAAACACTGTCAATTAAGTTGGCCCACAATAACTGTCCCAAACAGGAGTACCAAACAGCCTCAGGCCAACTTATTTTAGATGAAAAGCTACAAGCTGCCAAAGAAAAGTCCCAAACATGGCCAAAAGTTTATCAACACGGGAAACAAGGAAAGAACAGCAGCATGTGTGTACTGTATAATAGACAAAACCTGCAAGATATTCAAATGTGTAGCATAACATCATCATGATATTACATCCAAAACAATCACATACCATTAGAGGACAGCTTCCTTCCTTAAATAGTGATAGTGCCTTTGTACGGGCATGTTGTGCTTTGTCACCACTTATTGAAACAACTTTCCAACCCCTAGAAACCAGAAAGCAAATAAGCGTGGAAGGACAATTCAGCAACCTACTTCAAGTAGAAGGGGTCAAAAGGTCTGAAATATTCAGTGAAGAGACAAAACGGAGTGCAACATTTTAGTCTTCATGAACAAATCCTGGATGTTTGATTGACAATAAAATAGTAGCAATTCATGGCCTTGCGCAAACAACGAGGGACTAGAAACTAAAGGTATATCACCTTCTTTCCAGCATATTTTCAACTCGAGATGCTTCCTTCTTGTACAAAACAAAAACCAATACTCTATTCCTGTTCAAAGGTAAAAAAAACACTGTATCACCAACGAGGGAATGTCAATCTAAAAACATGAACAAAGCTAACTATACTTTTCTAATTCTTTCCTTCTAGACATATTAAGCACATAGAGGATACCAGACCATATCATCCACTATTGATTAAACCAATGAACTGGCAAGAAGTTCCAATCATGTCAATTAACACACAAAAAAAAAAGTTAAAACCTTCAGACAACTGAATGCATGGGAAGAGGAAGACATTCAAAAGAATGAGTCCACTTTAGTAATCTATTAGACAAAAGCAAGA